CACGAGTTACGTTAGTGTGTATGTAGGTCTTTAATGTTTCACAGAGAGTGATTTTCATGTCATATATGATGGTGGTGATGTGATATTCACGGTTAAATCGCAAGAACAGTGAAATGGAGTGCGAAGGACAGGTGACACCGGAAGTTAGTTTGGACTTGAAACCAAAATTGGGACTTGAATTTGATTGCTATGAGGATGTGTTCAATTTCTATAATATGTATGCCGCAAAAGCCGAATTCGGCATTCGGTGTTCTGCAACGAGAACGTGCACATTCACAGGAGAGGTAACAAGGAAAGAATATGTATGCTGTAAACAAGGGTATTCGTTGACAAGCACTGTTAGTCGTAAGAGAAGACAACGAGGTTGTACTCGAACTGGGTGCAAGGCTAAACTTGCGATTTTAAAAGTAAAAGAGAAGAATAAGTACACTGTTGTAGGCTTCAATGAGGTACACAACCATGACATGACCACAGTTGATAAAGTCCATCTATTAAGATCTCACCGTAACTTAACAGAGTCTACAAAGGCCTATAGTGCACATATGAGCAAAGTTAATATCCCTGCATATAAACAGGTAAGCCTTCTTGAGGTGCAAGTAGGGGGATTAGAAAATGTTGGGTTTGTTAGGAGAGATGTCTATAATTATGCAAGGGACGTGCGTGGATTAGAAAATGGCATGATGCAGAGCTGCTGAAGGAGCATTTTTTGGCTGAGCAAGGAAGCTGCTGAAGGAGTTGGTCCAAGTGGAAGGGACTTGGATCCTTTAAACAAGAGGTCTTGGGTTCGATCCCAGGCGCTTGCGAATAGAGCAGAATTTGTTGGGAGAGGTCCTCGCTTTGCGCTCGACAGTACCTCGAGGGTTAGTCCCCGCAATCGCGCGGGGGATACCTTGGTTTTCACCCAAAAAAAGAAGGAGCATTTTTTGGCTGAGCAAGGAAAAAAATGAATCCTTTCATTTCAATATGGAGGTAGATTCGGAAGGAAGGATGAGAAATGTTTTCTGGGCAGATGCAAGGTCAAGACGAGCTTATGGGTTTTTTGGGGATGTGGTGGTATTTGATACGACATTCAACACGAACTGCTATGGGATGGTCTTTGCGCCTTTGTTAGGCGTTAATAACCATAGGCAGACAGTGTTGTTTGGTTGTGCATTCCTAACTAGTGAAATCACGGATTCATTTGTATGGTTGTTCGAAGAATTCAAGAAAGCCATGCTAGGTGAGCCACCCAAAATGATCATCACTGATCAAGATGCAGCCATGTCAAAGGCAATTGCTTTAACTCTCCCAACAACATTCCATAGATATTGCATATGGCATATCTTGAATAAGTTTATGGAGAAACCCGGCATTGGGGAATGTTTTTCGGAAATGTGCAAATGCATATGGGGTATGGACACGAAAGAAGAATTTGATGCAAAATGGGATGAAATCATCACAAGCAATGGGCTGAAAGACCATCCATGGCTGAGCTCAATTCATGCTTTGCAGGAGAATTGGGTTCCATCATATGTAAAACACGTGTCTTCAGCTGGGATGTCAAGTAGTCAACGGGTTGAAAGCTGTCATGCATTTTTCAAACAATATATTAACCGGAAAAACACATTTATGGAATTCATTGTACGTTTTGAAAGAGCTCTTGGTTCACAAAGGCACAAGGAGTTAATGGCTGATCATGTTGATACCAATGAAAAACCTCCACTACCATTTCGAACACCAATGCAACATCAAATGGCACGCATTTACACTCTGGAAATTCTTGAAATGTTTGAGAGGGAAGACTTCAGAAGCCTTTTATGCTTGTTCGAACTTATAGAGCAAGATGAGACCCAGTGCAGGTACAAAGTAAGTGAGCGGGTAAATCCGGGGGGGACACAGATGAAAGAGCTTGTGCATGATAAAGATGCCGATAAAGCTTATTGCAGCTGCAAATGATTTGAATTTTGGGGTATTCTGTGCCGACACATCCTAGCATTTTTAAGAATGACGCAGGTGGAGCACTTGCCAGACAATTACATATTGAAACGATGGCTTCAAAGTGCGAAGTGCGGTGTAATATATGATAAGAATGACAACGAAGTTAAAGATTGCGTGGATAGTTTGGTTTTGGTTAAGAGATTGTGTTCACCCCTTTTTGTGTTTAGTACCTGTGATGGTAGGGTAAAGTTCCCCATTAATCCAAAGACCATGGTTGGTCAATAAATTAAGTTTCTTTGTGTGCCGAGCGTGCCACCGTTAGCAATTTTTCAATTCTAACAGACTTGAGAGTAAAAATAACTTGCGCCCCAAGCTATTGACTTTGAACAAACGATTGTGAATTTGGGTGAGGAATATCTCCCAAGTAAGTTCTTTTCTATGCCTTAGACTGGTAAGGACTTCATAATTTATCTAAATAAAACTGGGAAGTAAAGCAAAAATACAAGTGTTTGAAAATAAAAACAAGTTCAAGGAGAACTGTTTGAAATACAGTAAATGAAAGGAACTGCTAAGTCCGGAAATACATCAAAATATTGGACTTCGAATTCTGCCTGGAATGCCATTTCTGAGACTATTTTAGTCAAGCTGGACTGCACTGGATTGTGTGGCTGGACTGGACTGGACTGGACTGTCAGGCTGGACTGGACTGGCTGCACCTTCAACTAATAAATATTAGCTGGAAATCGATACCAATGTTGAAATTGGCAGAGCTATAATCAAGTTGAGTTGTGAGTGGCTGGGAATTCTGAGCAGAATCTCAAGGATAGCTTTGAAGGTCCTTGGTACCTTTGTTGGCTTTGCTTCTATTGAAGGCTAGAATGATCAGTGAACTGATTGTTTCTTTTGTATTTGTTTTATTGATTGTTGGGGGTGTCTTTTCTTCAGCTCTCATCCCTTGTATTTATAGGAATTTTGGTTCCTAAAAATATCTGGAAAATATCAGTTGTGATGAATATCTTTTCCTTGTAACTTGTGAAGGAAATATCCTTCTTTTGAAGGCACATGGATGTTTTGCAGAGATACTCAACATGCCTTCTCTAAGAATTCCTTTTGAATATTGGCAGAGCTATAATCAAGTTGAGTTGTGAGTGGCTGGGAATTCTGAGCAGAATCTCAAGGATAGCTTTGAAGGTCCTTGGTACCTTTGTTGGCTTTGCTTCTATTGAAGGCTAGAATGATCAGTGAATTGATTGTTTCTTTTGTATTTGTTTTGTTGATTGTTGGGTGTCCTTTTTTCAGCTCTCATCCCTTGTATTTATAGGAATTTTGGTTCCTAAAAATATCTGGAAAATATCAGTTGTGATGAATATCTTTTCCTTGTAACTTGTGAAGGAAATATCCTTCTTTTGAAGGCACATGGATGTTTTGCAGAGATACTGAGCATGCTTTCTCTAAGAATTCCTTTTGAATACCTTCTGGCCATTCTTGTAACTTGTGCTTCAAAATATCTTAACTGATGAGACCACACGGGTCTGTAGTTCCTGAGACTTAAATGGCTATAGGAGATAACTTTTGCTTTTACCTTTCTATTGATATGGTCTTTGAGTTAATGAAGGTCAGACCTCAAGTTTCAAAATATGTAATCTGGGAACTTGGGAAAGCTATTTTGGCTTATTTTATCTCTTGGAATGATATGGGCTTCTTTTCCAATTTTTGGCAAGTGGAGTCTGAATGGCTAGTTGGGCTGATGAGTAAAAAATAAGTCCAAATGTATTTTGGCTAGAATGGAGAGTTTGGCCAAAAAGTGCAAATTTTGGTACAAACAGATTGAAAGTTTGCAAAGTTGCAGGTGATTTGATAGATTCTGCTTTGTTGTGTGATGAAGGTTTTGAGTTGCTGGAAAATTCATTTGTCGACATTCGTGGCAAGCTTACAAAATTGTTGTCATCAAGAGCTCGTGTCGAAGAAGAACCTAATGGAGAGATCGGAACTAGTTCTCCCCAAGTCAGAATGAAAGATCCCCATCGAGTAAAAGCAAAAGGGCGTGCGAGAAGAGTGAAAAGACAAAAAGAGAAGGCAGCGGAACGGCATAAATGGCGGTGCAGTGAATGTAGGAAGACTGATCATGATAGACGGAGTTGTCCAAAACTTGGGAGCCCGTAAGTGAATATGTAATTGTCTGGGTTTGAATTTTATACAAGAAATGTTGTTCACTTGTTTATTTGTTTCGATGTTGCAGCTCTTCATCTTCCGACACAGAAGTTGGTGCTGCAGTTGATGAGAATTTAAAGCCTAGTCAGAGCACACAGGACAGGGAACCTACTATGACAGAGTCATTTATACAAGAGTTTGATTTCATTTACTGTCCCGGAGTTTGAATATTTGTTGATACCAATTTGCGTTGTTTTGGAAACCATATGGAACTGTTAGTGAATCTTATGTGAGTGCCTCATGTTGATACTGAACTAAGGTTTGTGAACAACAATAGTGAAACCGCCCAAAAACAAAGTAACTTTTGTATTCTATAATTATTAAGTGTCACACACGTATCGCATGACTTACATTCGGACATAGAAAAATAAAATTAAAAAAA